TGGAGGCTTTTCTTTCCTCAAAAGTCTCAACCTCTGTGCAAGTGCGATGGAAAGACAGGCTTGCATTCAGAAGTTAGAATCGGATTTTTAAGACATGTTTACTATTAAAACAAAATTTATGTGTTAAAATTGTGGTTCACTTGCATAAAAAAAAATGCCTGAGCCCTTTTATTTTGGGCTCCGGCTGAAATTGTAATTTATCTCGAAAACTGAGAAGTATCTGAGCCGGGCTCCGGCGCAATTTAAACTCTGCTATATACACAAATACCACAAAGTGAAGAGAAATTTAAATGCCACCAACCTGCACCCCTTTAATTCTCATTCTAAACTTTTCAAAATAAATACAGATTTATCATATGAATACAGTGCTTCAAAACAAAAATATATGTGGTACTCAAATTTTATTTTTGTTCATTCTTCAAAAATCTCTTATGTGACCTCAATAATTTGAAAGAAAAAATGAAATTGTATTTGAACAATGGCAAGTTCTGCATTTTTAATAGAAAGCCCACTCAATCCCTAAATATTAAAAAAAATAAATAAATATTTAGGATTAATAAATATTTTTAATATTTGAAAATTTATTATTCCCGAATTATATGACTACAATAACTAAATACTTTATGCCACTTCTCTTTTACAAAGGTCTTAAATTTACTTTCAGAAAGAACTAAGGGTTAAAGAAAGCATGGATTTTAATTTTTCTAGAATGAAAAAGTGAAATTATTATTTAATATTTTTGTTTAATGTAATGACTGCAAAAATGTACGCTTTAATTTTAAGAAAGTGTACTGATCTAACAGTTTTTTCAAAAAATGCTTTGATCATGTATGAAAACAAATTTTTGTTTATTGAATACATTAATTTTAATATTTTATGCTAATCATAACACAGTATAAACTTGAATTGCCAGTACTATCAGCAAACAGGCATAGAAATCATACGAACAGTACACACTCAAAATAATAGTAAAATACTGCTAAATGATCTTTGCTCTTCCTTAGATGAGATTTTTGACAACTCAGGATACCAAACATAATCATTACTCAACCATCTGTAATTATAATGCACTTGCTGGCCTTTTAAATGCTAATTAATAATATATATATTGTTAATTAGACTATATATTTATTACATCATTTTATATTTTAGTAATTTTAATTTGTTTAAATATAAAAGGTTTCTTTTTCCTAATCCAAGAACCTTTTTCCATTTAAATTAACGGTAAATAGTTCTTTGATTTATACCATTTTGTTTATAAAAATGTTCATTGAAAGATTGCTTTTATTATGCATTAAAAAATCTGATTTTAATTAAAATTTGAAAATTGTTCTGTAATTATATCAGCTTGCCACTATTAATTAAAATAATTGCCATAATTTTCAAACTTTAAATTTTAAGGTACTTATTTCTTGTAAGTGCGTAGTGCATATTAATAGCACATAACCTAAAATAGCAACAATATGCCAAACTTATGGCTTATATAATCCTTGCTGTATAATAAGAAGGAAAAAAAATATTAAAAACAAGTCTTAAAATGTTTTCATGCTTTTAAAATGAGATATATTTCTTGCAAGAGAGGTAGCACATAAAACTGTCATTTTGCCAATGTAATTAATATTTAAATGCTAGAATTGTGAAATTACTTAGCTGACACATTAGAAATAATTTTCTCTTGCAATAAATGCTCCTATATTGTAAATCTTATGTCAATAAGAATTCTCTTAGCCTCTTCAATGTCCATACGATTGCCATACTCCAATTTGCTGGCATAAATGCTTCATATATTTTTTACAATTTTCATAAAAATTAAAATTTGTAAGAAATAATTTCCAACATTTAGGATTGTGCACTGTTGTAGTTTAAATGAGAAATTAACTAGGATTTGATAAAATAAAATTTATTAACAGACTTTAGAAACAAGCATGAGACATACCTAGATATAAAATGGTTAAAAATATTTCCGCATATAATTGTTCCAATCAACAACTGTATTGCATATTACAAAACTCAACTGAGGTCAGTCCATGGTACCAATGGTCCATAAATTTTACAGCTCTAAGGAAATTGAGATACGATCCTTCAAACCAAGTGCGAGATCTGAGACCTTTTTTCTGGGCAAGATCTAAAATTAAAACGTTATTTTGGTTTCAAAATCGTAAAAAACAACCTTATATTTAGCGTAGGTATAATGAAACACTCAATCGATTTCGAGGGCAGCTAAAGGTCCCTCCTCATCAGGAGAAAGAAATAAATAAATCAGAAAGAAATAGGAATGCTTATCAGCACCTGCTTATCATCACACTGCACGTGGTTATAACTAGATTTTAATCAGAGAGTTGCACTGGCCGCCTACTTTTACTGAGCCAGGCTGTCTGATCAAGCATAAAGAAATATTAGCGAAGTTAAAATAGGGAGCGAGGGGCAAATGCACATTACGCTCAAAATCTGAACTTCAAATAATGGAAAGCAACCACTGAACGGATTTTTATACCCTCTGGTAGTACCAAGTGCGAGGAGGTAACGCCATCTATCGGCAAAAATAATTGAATTAAGATAGTAGAATTTTAAAGGCATTAGGAAGGACTGGATTGGACTTCGAATCATTAACTAAACTTTCTAAATCTTTGTGAATGTGAAAAGCCTCAAGAAAATCCAATTCAACAAACAATCCAATTCAACAACAAATCAAAAAACAAAAAAATTTGTTTTTTACGATTTTGATTGTCACATTAGCGTGTTTGTCTTCTAGTCTAGTTATTTTGGTTTATTGTAATTGATAAAACGCATTATTTCAGGATTATTTTTACAAAATTTTCAGCTATGAGGAATTCCTTTATTCTGTAGTAATTTCAAAATGCTTCCTCGTCTTTTTTTTTTTTTTTTTTAAATTCCAGGCAATTTTGCTATTGAACAAGAATTTCTATCAACAGAATTAAAGTGTTAGCACAAAAATAAACACGTTACATTGAATTAAATGTTTAATAAAGCAAACAAATAAATATTGATCTTTTCTTTTTTGTACATACTGATTCTCTTTAGGTCATACATACTTTGTTATTTCATAAATCACCATTTCATTTTCATATTTTAAATTTTAATAATTAACATCTTACTGGATTTAAACTTAAGATCTAATATGCAGCAAAATTCCAAACCTGAAATTGCCAATGTCACGAATATTCTAGATCTTTGATTTTGTACTATATCTCTAACAGCAGTCAGTATAAAGCCATGCTATACAGGATATAAAAAATTGCAGTGACAGTTTCTTTTTCAAGGATGTTCATGGTCTGAACAACATTTTGTTGTTTAGGAAATGCTGCTTAGCACAGCCAAAAACTCGTCCAGCAAACATTAAATTAAATCAATGAAACACTGTGCATAATTTTTTAAATTTCTGTGGCATATGCTCAGAATGAGAATGTCAAACAGGGCCCGATAAATAGGTTCTACATACTTTCATAGAGAACTGCGAAACTAAATACATCTTCTGTTTTGAAATGACATCAAAAGGAACATTTTCATGAGTTATAAAATATACATTTTGTGTCTTATTAAAACAAGTTATTAAATTATAAATTAAAGAATTTTTCAAAGTGTGAAAACTAACAGTCTCTTAATGAAGAAAAAGTTACAGAAATAATAATTACTTATGTCTAAGTATGAAACGATATATTTATAATTTATTTAAATCTGTTATTAAAGGGATAGTAATAATCAATTACTCAAGTTTATGTTAAAATCTAAAATAAGCCTAACACTTATAAATGTAATAATTCCTTAAAATGATCTTTCAAAATATATTACCTAACTATGTTACTTCTGATTAACATTTCTTACATGATAAAAATATTTCTCAGATTGAATTTTTCTTTAAAACTTAAATACATATTTTGAATATTATGCCATTCATGATTTGCCCCATATATATATATATATATATATATATATATATAAGAAAATATATCACACTTGGCAAGTGTTTGCATATGTTACAAACTAAACAACGGAAGCAAAGGAAGATGAAAAGAGTTAAATAAAAACTCTTAAAATGAATAAATTATTAATACTTATACATTCATTTGATATTTTATAAGGAGCAATACATATCTTAACAGAATTATTTAATAGGTAAATATATACAATACATGTTATAGTTACAGAGTTATTAATACCGAACCATATAGGCTAAACTTAACTAACTAGTCATTATTAAATTAGAAAGAATTATTATTATTTTATTGTTCCCTTTCAACCAAATATAATCATTATTAAATATCATGGTTTACTAAATCCCACCTAATATATATGTTTTCTATACCTAATATTTATGTTTACTGTGAGACCACGCTAACCATACGCAGTGTTAGTAACTGCCAATAGCTCGACACGTAGTCATGCCATAAAAAAAGGCACCATAAGTACACTCTTGAAAAATGAACCGCCATTTTTCTTTATTTAATACCCCCACTAATCACATATAATGTTTGCTGCTTCAGTAATTATGTTTGACACACGCACAATTATATATAAGACGCCATTACGAAAAACCGGCGATCAAGTATCACGCTACTAAATACCAAGGTCCGTAGAAAGACGTAGTTTCTACGGGCCTTGACTAAATACGACATATCATCACGATTGTTAGTCCATCTCTGCGCATGCGCTAGCCACGCAATTTCGCCAAGACCTGATAAATCGCCAAATTTTGTCGTCGGTTGCGTTTCCTATGGAGGAAGTAAAAATACGCCACCCGGTTTGGTTTTTATTACTCTTGAAGAGAGGGGGCAGAAAGAAATCTCTAGATCTTTAATAATATTATTGTTTCCCATTTTCGCATTTTAATGTTGAATTTTAGCCTTTTTATCATTTGCTAAATTGTGTATTATTAAAACTTTTCTACTTTTATGAAATTCTATCTTTTTTTTTTTTTTTCAATTGTAAAGAAGAATGTTAAAAGATGAAGTTTAAGAATTCTCATATGGCAGCAGCGGTTACTCTGTGAATCTGTGATCTCGTTCGTGTTCGTACTGTTTTTCAGTTTCGAAAAACCAGTTCATAAATAAAGATTAAAATGTTTGCAATCCAACCACCTGCCAAACAGAAGCCTGGCTTTTTTGGTTTCTTACGGAGCTGTTACGATGATTCTAACACGTGGTAATAGTTTTAGTATTAAGTAAATTAGTTGAATTAAGTTTATTTCAGTTTCTGACCTGTCATTTCTAGTAATGTATTTGTGAAAAGTGTATTAATTGAAAAGTTAATTTATTGTGAAAAGTGTATTAATTGAAAAGTTAATTTATTGTGAAAAGTTATTTCTAATTATAAAAATTTTACTAAATATTTGGTAGTAGAATGTACGTTTTTCAGTTACAAGTATTGAAATAGTTTAAGTTCCGCCATTTTAGTGCTATTGGTTTGAGTTGCGTCATTCTTAAATTTGTTCTTTTAGAAAGAACTTTTGCTATTATTTACATAGCATATGCTTGGTATGCGTATATGTTTAATTTTAGAAATTTAGCTCGAAAAAGCAATGATATCTTGTTATGTATGCGAATAGATAAATTTGCTATATTTTAGCAGCACTTAACAGTGTAAAAATATTTATTATGTAAAAAGCAAGTTTCATATCTTAATAGCATTTACAACAAATATTATACACCTTAATATAAGTAGATAGGTTTCTAATACCATGTAATGTGCCAGCAGAGATAAAACATTTGGATCCTTCAAATCTTGGAAAAGATTTGAGATTCATAAACACCATTTTTTTTTTATTTATTTTTTTTTTTTTATTGTAAACCAAAAAGACGATTAAACAAACTCAAAAAAGATTAACTTTATCGAGTCCAACAGAAGTGCTTATTAAATAAAGGAATATGAATATTATAACTTCGTTTCACCGCAGTTTCAAATTGTTGTATCCTTGAATGCCACCTTTTAAATTATCTTGAGAGAATTTAGGGTTTCATGTTAATTTTGTGTCTGCAACTATCCAACTGGTATATTGGTTAGTGACCCTGACTGCTGTACCGATGAGCTTGGGTTTGAAACTTGAGGAGGGTATGGATGTTTGTAAGGATATAATTTATGTGGCAGTCGAAATATATGGCAAGCTGAATCACATTTCGTAAGGTTGGTGGTGGGGAAAGAGGAGTAAGAGATCCTTGGACTGTCACTGATGTGTTCTGCAGTTGGTAGTTGCATAGTATGTATATGAACCATTAATCAAATCCCTAGCCTCATCTCCTGAAATTATGTTTAAAAAACGGACATCAAAATTCAGAAATTTTATTATATTACTTCCACCTTTGTAATAAATATTTTGGTTTAATCCTAGTATCCGGTGCACATGGGATTTGGCTACTTTTGGCGACTTTATGATGAGCAGTAAAAACAGGACATATACAATGAGTAGTTAATGGGTCATTCAAAGAAAATATGTAGTTAAACTTAGTATATACCATGTATATAGTATATATACTATGTGTGTATATACATATACTATGTGTGTATAGTATATATATAGACGTTCTTTGGATCATTTTTGGTGTTGGCGATAATTTTCAAAGTCGCACCAAGGCTGCACCGTATACTAGGATTTTACCAATATTTTTTTTTTAATGCTGTATTCTTAAATTTATTTTTTTGTTAGTTGCAGATTTAAAATTTTGCCTTAATTAAAAAAAATTCCTTTATTTTTTATAAACTCAAAAACCTATTTAGGATATGGAATCAGATTTGAGAAAATTGTAATTCTTTCCATCTTCAAACGTCAATTGTAAGATTTCTAACTTTTTATCTTCAATACTTTCCGCTTCAAAGATAAAATCAAACGATATCCGCGGAACTTTCTAGTAATATACAGATTCATTTAGCCTAAATTCAAAATTAAATTTTAAGTATAGGATAGCTCATACTGCATCTACCAATTATGTAGGCAGCCAAGCCAAAATCCACATATCTATGCGTGGCATACCTGCATCTGTAGAAAGCAAGTTGTTATATCATAAATTGTTAGTCTTCATGGAGAGCTAGTGTACAATAGCATAGCTGTCACTCACTTAGTGTTGAGATCTGCTGGTCTCCCAGTAAATCACCTAGTTGTTAAATTTTAGCCGTTACTAACCCTAGAGTGGAGGAGCCGGCGTAGAGAGTATGCCAATGCCATCTTTTCGTCTGCAATTTTTAAACAACCCCTTCCTGAACTTCCTGTACCTTCCTAGAAACATTCTACGAGTGCACTGCATCTGGAATTTATGGTCAGTCTGGTTTTCGCCATCTCTCCAAAAGCAGTTATTGTGAGCATGTTGTGTAGGCGAACGAAATACACCACTCCTCCAAGTATGTACAGAAAGAACATTGTATCTCCTGAAGATTATTTGCACATTTTATACGAAGTCTTGGTTGATGAAGACTCTGATCGAGAAATGTTTCTAAACATCCTCATTTTCCTTCCTCATGTAATGTTTTTCCAACAAACAACACTTTTAGTGATGCTGAAAATGACACAAGTGATTTAAAATGTAAGGACTTTTTTGTAAAAACAATTTACAAAAAGAAGAAAGTTGGAGGAAAGATTCTGAAAGAAGAAAAGGAAACTTATAAATGGAATAAAGTTCCCCTCAAGAGCAAATTCACCAGAAAATTTGACAGAAAAAATATACCCCAAGTGCCAAAACTTGTGACGATATAACTGATGAGCTTTCTGCTTTCCAGAAAATCATAAGCTGCTATTAGATTATTAGAAAATCTAAAGCGATTCATAAACCTGTGTGCTATTAGATTCAACGATAAAAGCACAAGGTATGTGCGAAGAAAAACTGATAAGCTTGCTGGACTAAGAGAATTTTTTTAATCTTTCAATCAGAACTTTTATATACCAATTGATGAACTCGCAATCGACAAGACGTTTCGAACCCTTTCGCAGGAGATGCTCTTTTATTCAATTCATCCCCAACAAGCCTGCACAGTATGGTCTGAAAATTTTTGCAATTGTTGACTCGAGAACGTTTTATGCATTGAAGCTTGAAGTTTATTGTGGCAATCATCCACCAAGACCTTACGATGCTTCTAATTCAAGTATTGACATTGTCAAAAGGCTAATTGGTGCGTACGAAGGTTCTAACTGTAACCCTGACAACCAATAATTGGTATACAAGCTATCCGCTAGCTCAATATCTTCTTACTAAAGGTATAACACTTGTGGGCACACTGAAAAAAAATAAAAAGGAAATTCCAAATGAATTCCAGCCATCAAAAACAAGAGAAGTCTGCTTTTCACTGTTTAGTTTTCAAAAGGATATGACAAATAATTAAAAATACTAACTTATCTAATCTTCTTCAGAATCTTGCTTACATGGTGGATACACTTTTATTATGTATTCAATACAATTATTGAACGATTTTTTCTGCGAATTTTCCCTCCACACTTCCTCCGCTAAATAAAAAGCAAAATTCTCTTTATCACAATGCCTCGGAATGGCACTTTTTATAGCACTCCACATGCCCTCTATTGTATTGGTATATGCACCTCTTTCCGGATCTTTAAAATAATATTTGTGGTTCACAGCAAGATGTTTAAAACCTTCATCTTCCAAACATTCATACGATTTCAAATGCAACAAAAAAATAAGTGTGTAATACTGCTCAGTACTTTACATGCTGATAACAAAATTGACCAAAAAATGGATAAACCTCACATAATCTTTGATTATAACAAATGGAAAGGCAGAGTAAACTAACTTTGTAGTAATTTCACATTCGCACGAAAAACCAAGAGGTGGGCAATAGCAATACTTTTTGCACTTACTAAATGTAGCGGCCATAAATTCGCAAGTGCTTTTGAACGGTTGATCTTTAGATTATGGTAACTTAACGATTTTTTGGCGACCAACTCTCCTACAGCAACCCTGTATTTTTTTTTTTCCCACCGCCATTTTGTCTTCACGAAGTAAAGACATGTTTCTTTTCTTTTTATCTACTGAACACTTCTTCCAACAATCTACTAGCCGAATTACACTTATGCTAGAAATTTTATCTAACAAAACTGCTTAATCGTGACAAATATTCACTGCAAAATTGGGGGAAAAGTGCACAATACCATACTCCTTACGCGTTTTTCAAAATAACACATACACATAAACCATGTACACGTCGACTTATTTTTACTTTAAAAAACATCTCAGAATTACACAAAAATGGCATTGCGCACACTCTTCACTATATTCATGTACACTGCTTTTTTCTCATAAATTAGAAAAATTTCATGAAAATACATGACAATTTTCTGAATCTTTAAACCCGGTAAAAAGAACATATGTAGCTTTGGCTACTAATGTTTAAAATTAATTTATGACTAGGAACAGCATGAATTATAAACAAATAGCTAAGTTATTGCATATTATTTTCCGGCTATCGAAATGCGACGCTACGAGCAACGTTTTGAAAACAAAACCTAGGAATCAGAACTAGAACTAGTTGCCATTCAGCATAAAGAAATTTAAATATAAATATGAACTACTTATTGCCATTCAGCATAAAGAAATTTAAATATAAATATGAACTACTTATTGTCATTCAGCATATATTACTAATTTTGAACTGAGCTTCAACTTGAAAAAACCATATTTCCGGTTTATCAGTCCAAAAAGGAGGTATTTTTACACTCACCTTATGAAGCTCCGGTGACTGCATCATATCTTTCATAGCAGTTTCAGAAGAGTCATTTGATGACATTTCGAAAATTAATCAGGGTCACCACAATGTAGCCTTGGCTACTAATGTTTAAAATTAATTTATGACTAGGAACAGCATGAATTATAAACAAATAGCTAAGTTATTGCATTTTATTTTCCGGGTGACCCTACGCGCAACGTTTTGAAAACAAAACCTAGCAATCATGAATCAGAATCAGAACTAGAACTAGTTGCCATTCAGCATAAAGAAATTTAAATATAAATATGAACTACTTATTGCCATTCAGCATAAAAGAAATATAAATATGAATATTAACAAAATATTAAAGTTAATTTTATTAAAATAATTAAACACATGAACAAATATATGAAATAAAAAATAATTATTTCTCATGCAATAACTGGGCCACTACACATATATGAAATTACCTGATCGCGAAAAAGTATATACCCTTTCCAAATATGAACATTTCCACATATAAAATAAATAAAATATCCAAAAACTTTTACCTCTAAATTACCTATTATATTAAAAACGTCACCAACGAATTCATATTGCAAACATTACAAATACTTAGTGTCAAATATTTAAATTATTTCCATGCACGTTTACTTCAACTAAAACGTATACCAAATTCCTACAAACATAAAATTCACAAAATAACTATCATTTAATTAAAATATAATTAAATTCAAAAACACTACTTAAAATATAAATAAGCACATACATTAAATTAATAAAAATTAGCTTACAATCCTAATTACTTTAAACTAAATCATTGCTAATAACAATTTTCCCAATAATACCAAATTACTTTACTTCCACCTTACATTTAGAACAATGCATAAAAATAATATCCTCAAATAATTAAAAATACTAACTTACCTAATCTTCTTCAGAATCTTGCTTACATGGTGGATACACTTTTATTATGTATTCAATACAATTATTGAACGATTTTTTCTGCGAATTTTTCCTCCACACTTCCTCCGCTAAATAAAAAGCAAAATTCTCTTTATCACAATGCCTCGGAATGGCGCTTTTTATAGCACTCCACGTGCCCTCTATTGTATTGGTATGTGCACCTGTTTCCGGATCTTTAAAATAATATTTGTGGTTCACAGCAAGATGTTTAAAACCTTCATCTTCCAAACATTCATACGATTTTTCACTTTAGACAGCGCCATACAATCCCAAAATTATTCAACCCTACTTCGTGTAACACACAATGAAGCTTAATACAAAATAATATACAGCCACAGATATTTTTCCAAATTCCCTCACACAAAATAATGTGTAATCGGAACTGAGTACTGCTCACATTATTACCAAAGTCCCAGGTAGTAACCTTTATCGCCTCCAAAATGTCGCCAAACTACCAGTTACCATATTCTAAAGATCAGCCTTTTGAACTTCGCCAAACCTGATGCAACCATCAAGTTCAGAAGATTTTTTTTTTTTTTAAATATAGCTACATCTTTGAAGAAACCACATCTTCAGAATTGTCTAAAAATGCCATTTCTTCTGTTGCATTCCACATTCGTAATTGCTATTATTAGAAGGTTGGTAACAACAGAGCAAACAAGACTACCGAAAAGGACGAGGAACGCATGCAAAAAAATCATCAATGGATGTTGTGCTGAGTGTGGTAGAATGAAGAATACACTACCATAAAATGTTCCAAGTTTACCCTGCAAAAATCCAGGGCTGTGGATTCGAGCTGATTAATGTACTTTAAATTGGGCAAATTGCATTCCCTCAACAATGATTTTCAGAATAATTTGTTATTAATTTTTATTTCATCAGATTTTATTTAACTTGCTAAATTTTTGTTAATTAAATTTCATTTAAATCAAATTGTCTTAATCTATTATTGGCATTTGTAGATTTTTATATGAAGATTCAAGCAGTATTTATCAGCTAATATTTGTATTTAATTTTATTTCACTGCAATAAATAGTATACTACTATATTTATCCATGCAAATATTATGTACATTAATTATTAATTTTATTTTTATTGTATTTAAAAATGGTTTGATAAATAAAGCTTTACTGTGACATTTTTCCCGAAAAAGTTAAAGAAAAATTTTTAAAAAGTGATTTTAGCCAAAGAAAATAAAATTTAGAGCATCTAATTAAATGCTTGTGTATTTTACATCAAAATTAGATTACAAATTGATTAGTAACTTGAATCGTGCTATAAAGTGAATTACCGTTTGGAGTTGATTTGAAATGGTCACTTCTCAACGTAAAAACCTCCTGGTTTTTAAGAGTTCAAGATTGGCAGCTATGCCATAGAATATCGGACACTGCAATTGGGAACTGTAGTAGTGGAAGCTTTCATTAGAACAGCCTATGTCCCATATACCCAGTGGGTAATGTAGAAAATGGTAAAGACTGACAGGATAGATAAAGGATACAGTTTAGTTCCAATGAAATAGTACTGTGGCAAACACAAGTATGGCTGACCTCCAACACTACTCTAGAAGACATGTTAAGAAAAGCCATAGAAATCTTCCTGCATTGCCTCAAACAATTCATCCAAGCAGAAGGAGGACACTATTTTCAAAGTTCATTATTTTCTCTATTGTCTGTGCTATACATTACAGTAAATGCCTGTGTATATACTGTATTTTGAAATCAGTTTACTACGAGCACTCGCCTTCTTTCAGTTGTTATTTAAAGTTTGTAAACACAACAGATGCTGTCCTATATGTGTGCTGGAAGATTCGGTTTAGCATTGGCATTTCTTGAGAGGGAGCTTCTGAATAATTTGATTTTACTTTTGAAATATGTATAGTATAATCCTATTATGTTTTAAAAAAATAATTTTGGTACTGTGATTATCTGCATTTCGATGGAAAGTCTCGAATTCCTTAATGACTTTCGAATTAACAAAAAACGATCGGCTGTCTTTACAGCTTATACTGTTCTTTTCATAAATAATAGTATTAAGGAGCATTTTATGAAGGAAAAATAAATCTATTGCTGATGTTTATATTTTCATAGCTTATGAGTAACAAAACATGTAAATTTATGTGAAATCAAACATGTGTGATATAGGTTGGTTGTTGTCACATGTATGCTTGAAAATATGTCAAAAACAGACATTTCTCTCGAAATTGGAGGTGCAGATAATCTGAAAGTATCATCATTTTTTTTATCTTTCTTCTGTGTACTTGCTATTATTTTTTTAGAAATGTGTATGATGAATTTAAAATGGTGTTTTTCTTCAGGGATAAAATAAAGAGCCTGACAATGTTTGTAATTGGCATCTACTTTTCAAAAGATATATGTAGTATTGATTTTACTTTACCACCGTTAAGTACACGGCCATAACTTCTTATCACAAGGTGTCAGTTTTAATTAAAGTAAGTCCATTTCTGTTAAATAATTAATATATAAATTTTGTTAAAAATGGTAGTAAAACAACCACCAATTTTAGTGGTTTCATCTAAAAAGTAACTTAAAGTGGTAGATCATTACCAACTTTTTCCTGTTAGCATTTTCATTTATGAACAATCTCGATCTGTGTGCACTCGAGTGAATTATGTGTTTCTTGATGTATTAAGCAACAAATATAAACATCACAATTTGTACATACACTTCTCTTCCTGCCTGTTGAAATTGATCAATATTTACTAGCTATTTCTTCCTCATCATTATCCTTAGGCTTGGGATCATGGGGAACATTAACAATCACATGACCAATGCATGGTGATTTTTCTTAGCGAGTTTGTTACTTGTGTTAGATTTAAATGTTTATGAATCATAGCAATGCAAATTATGACAAACTGCTATCATTTTGAACCTTTCCAAATATTCAACTTTGTTCAAATTCTAAATATAATTAGAGAGGTACAACCATGATTACAAAGATGCATGCATAATTTAGACCAGTTTATTTATAAAATTGGTATGAATCATGAATCTATATATATTCCTTCTTTTCAGCAAATAGAGAACTGTAGCATAATGTCTTATCCTCATAGTTTATATTATCTTAGATGAATTTAAATTGTTTAAAAATTGATGAAAATGTTTTAAAAGTGACAAATATTAAAAAGTAAAGGTAAATAAATAGAGATAAAAACAAGAAATTCGAGGTTGATAGGGGATTAACAGTACAACACATAAATGTTGATGTGAAATCAAAATAAAGGTAGAAGTGATAGCATGGTATAGACAGCTTCACAAAAATAATGGTTATTTCATTAAATCTAGTGTGATTCTAAAAACTAGAGACAAATTTGGAAATTCACAAATAAGAAAGTATGTAATTATTCCAAGCAGCAATCATACGGTGATTCATTGCTAGTAGTAGCTCACAGAATTTTATCAATATAAACTCTTGACAGCAGAAATAAATAAAATGAATATCCATCAGAAAAGGAATGTGAAAAACCTAATTTTCTATCCTAGCTATAGCACTCAAATTAATGTACAATGTAATTTTAAGAATTTCTGATCGTTCATTATTGATTTATACCACAAAATCCCTTTAATCTGTAAACCTCAGGATTAGTTGTTGGGTTGTATGGATTAGTGAATTTTGTAGATTTGCATGCCATATTTTTCTGAGTATTGTTTAACTTTTTCACTATCTAATTGTGTACTACATTTAGATTATTTGCGCATGAATAGCTAAAACAAACTCGCATGTTAAGAATTCTTTAATACAAAAACCATTATTTTTTTAATAATTATATACATAAATTAATGTTTATAAATGACTTTTATATTTTTTGAGCAATATTTTTCCTTAAAAAGTTCAAGTAAATTTAAATCTGTATTTTTTGGCGAATGAAAACAGTTCTGCTGCTTTCATATCAGATAACATAAAACCTGAATAGTCTGCAGTCACTTCAATTTCATTAAAAAGTGTCATTAGCCACAAAGTTAGTGATTGTTGAAATAATCAGTTTTTTGTTTCGTTTTGTTAAGAAAGTCGAAAAAGTATTTCATTTTAATTGCCATGAAACAAAGTGAAAAGATAAATATATATATTCACATTTACTTCATTAATATAAGGACTATGATTACAATTTAAATCTAAAATAAAAGTCCTAGGGTGAAATGTAAGTTATTTTTACTATTAGTTTATTTAATGCAGAAATAATTTGATACTACATGATGACATTTGTTTAAATAGTTGTCCTCGCAAATGGTACTGGTTGAAATGTGCCTTGTCTGTAGATGTGTGTGGGCAAACATCTTAGGAAATTGCAGCTTTTTATGAGTTTTTATGTAAATGACAAAAACTAGTACTTTATTCATTTATAATAAACCTCTCTTTTATTTATTTATTTGTAGCTACATGATCTCTTTGTTAGTTTTTAAAAATTGCCATAAATCTCTAAAATATTTTCTGGTGTATTTACTGAAAAAAAATCCATCTACGAGTGGAATTGTGCCATTCAAACCCATATTATCCGAAGTTCAATTGTAATACTAGTTCATTAATTTACATATTTTGCTTTTGTTCTTATTATTATTATTAATAAGTTAAGAAAAATATCTTTTTATATTTTGACTTGTCAATAATAAGAAATGTGTTTTCTTTTTATAAAATTCTAATGCCAAGGATTTGTTTACAGAGCATGAAGAGAATGGAGCTGCTTTGTGTTACATCTCTCATAATCAAAAATCCTTGTATATAGAATCTCTTATGATGTATATCAAGACTGCAATAAATCTATAACAATTTCAGTGACTTATTTGATAGCTTTTCATTAAAACACTTTCTTTTAATATTGTTATTTTACAATTCTTAATTTTAAAAAAATTCAGTGTATTTTATTTTGTCATTTTATATTTTAGTAAATTTTGTTCTGCATAGTATATTAATCAGCTTTTAAGAATGAAGTTAATCTGCATAGTGTATTAATCAGCTTTTAAGAATAAAGTTTCTGAATTCTCTGTTTTCGATCACCAATGGTTACTATATAACCACAGTTTCCATGTTTCTTACATTGTGTATTTTGTTTGTTTTTGAAATTTATAAATGAGTAATATTTCTTTTTCCTTCTATTTTTTACCAAATAAGAAGTAGACTAGCAAAAATATTTTTTTTATTTTGATTTATAAATGAAGCTTAGCAAAATATTTTTTTTATTTTGATTTATAAATGAAGCTTGCTTTTTTTTATGCTGATTCTTAACTGTTTTAAAGAATAAGTGAACATTATAAAATATTGTAACTATGTTTCATTTCTCTAAACTATGAGAAGTACTTCTGCATAACTCAAAAAAATTATTATCAACATTTAATCGTAAATCGTCTGAATAAACTAGCCACCAACATACCCAATCATCTACAGTAGTTACTGTAAATATATATGTAATGCTTTTAATAAGCCCACTTTGTCTAATTTCATGGGCTAATAATAACAGAGCTAAAGAACTACACTTGTTGCTTTAAAATGCTTAGTTTTTTTTTTTTTTTAATCAATGTCAGACAAATACATTTGTGCTAAATGGCAATACATTTCTTTTAAATTGCTGAGTTTTCTGATTTGAAACATAAATATTTTACGCTTTGCAAAGTGGCAGCATATTGCTTTTTAATCGCAAAGTTTTTATTCGGGAATTTTTAAATTTTGCACAAAATATTAGTCAGTCAAATTTGAAATTTGCGATTCTGGCTTTGAGGTGCACATGTCCGGGTTGAGGAACTGTGCTTTTAATTTGGTTGTTCTAGATGTTGTTATTCTGCAGTGCAGGGAATATGCATACAAGTTCTTAATTATTTAATAATAGGCATATATGTGAGAATTTATGAAAGCTAAAAAATGAAGCTCTACCAATTTCAACGAAAACGTTAAAATTGTGTGAACGTATTACGTTAGCGCATGTGAACTTCTGTAAAACTCCAGTTATCTAGTTTAATTGTTTTGTCTAATCCAAGTTACATTAAGCCACGTTATTACTAATTTATAGAATATTTTTAGTTACAATGCTTAAAATTATGCAGACTATCACGTATATTTTAAGAATCTTTAGTTTTAGGATTATGTAAATAAAGATTAATGTTATTGTTTCAGTTTGAGATGGAGATAGGTTGTATTTTTAGAAATGTAAAAATTATGAATTCATTGTTTAATTTTGTTTAAACCAGCATATTCCATTTTACAGAAGATGGAGTATGTTATTCTTTTAACTGTAAGTTGAAATTTATGATATTAAATTTTTTCATCTGTTACAATAAATACGTATTACGCATATAGAGGAAGACAACCCTTTTCTGTGCCACGTGCCATAAAATCATATGTTCAGCCCTCAAATTATAATAATTTATTGCCCATTAAGAGCTAAAAAAAACTATTTAATAGCAGTTTATATAAATATTAGAAATAAAGTAATTACAAATGGAAGTGCTTAAGACATGTAATGACAACCTGTAAAACATGCATACCAAACAACGATATGAGAACAATTACCAGCGGCATCCTGAGTATTTTAGAATATGTTGACAATGATCTAATAACAATTTAATTACCTAGAATCATGTAATTCTTCTAAAAATATTCCAATTTTCATAGCCCTGCAAAACGAAAGTTGTTTTTTGAGAGATATGGAACTTGTTGTGAAGGACGGACAGTCAATAAAACTCAAATTTATAAAAATAGATTTGTTCATATTTCATAATATAACTAAAGAAAGTTTTAATATTAATGAAAATCTGAGAAAAGGTACGTAAAAATTAATGCTTAAATTACTATTAAATGTATTAAACTATCAAAGTTGGCTATCTTTCATTAAACATATGCAAGTTCTTAATCACATTACTAATTACATTAACAAGTTGATCCAGATAAATATATTGGATTTAAAGTTAAGTAAATTTTTACTGTTGAGTCATAGTAACTTAAGAGATATAATGTAACCTTAGCCTTAATCTTATAAAGGTGTTGTATGTATTTCAAGTGACTGTGGGCTTTTCTAGACTGACCATTGATTGAAAGTCTAAAGCTATGAAACATTTCTAGATTCAGTGTTGAGTTTTTTGCTATGTGTAAATGGGGTTTTTAAAATTCTTTTACCAAGGCATTCCTTCCCATTGGCCAATAGATCTATTATGCTTTTTAATTAACAAATGATCTAATCCTCTCTTCTTCAGCAATCTCTTATTTACTTTATGAAGAAGACAGCTTGCTTGAAATTCTTTCACAATTCATCGTGTCTTTACCTAATATTAACCAACCCATCGTTGAATGTTTTCTAATTTAAGAATGCATTCATAAGTATTTAAACATAAGCATGATTTTTTTCCTAATTGTGTGTTGAATATTGTTGATTGGAGGTGATTAATCAGCTGACCTTATCAATGATAAACTAAATGATGGTAATTTTGTTCTAGGTTTGATAGCTGGTGCTTTCATTATCAAGTTCAAAAGAAAACTGAATATAAGCTGTAATTTGATTTAGGCATGTTAAAATTGAGGGTAATTAAATCTGCCTTTCTTCATTTAAAGCCTTAAATTGGTACATTTAGTTGTTAACTTTTATGTTTAAAAAAAATGGAAGGTATTTGAGGGATTTAGACCAAGAATTATTAAAAGAAATGAAAATGTGTATATTTGAATATCAAAGTAATAACCGTGAAATGATGTGTATTCTCTGTATGCTTATAATCATTTCGTAAAACAGCATAAAAATTTGCCATAAACTTATTACATCTTTCACAACTAAGATTCTTTTGTTTAATATGAATTCACACACTTCTAATGAGAACTTCAGAAAAATTTATATCACTTGACAGTAGAAGAATAGACAGTCTATTCCATTTATTTCTTTATTGCAAATTTGCTTTGGAAGTGAAATAATAGTAATTTTGCATTTTTAAAGGAATAGATTTATAAACTTATATATTCTCAAATCGCATTAAATGCCCTTAAAAAATATTCAAATCCTAACCCCCCCCCCTCCCAGTAAAAACAAGCAACATATACTCTTTAGCAGAATGTTAGGTAATGTAATAATAGATTGTGCTTTCAGTTTGTGTTACTTTTTCATTTACTTTTACGCTGTTCCATTTCTGTAACTTATTACATACATAGACATAATTGTAGTGTTCACTATTTTAGAAGATGCAGTGCAAGTGTAAACTGATACATGCATGTTGTTGAAATTTCATGATAATTTATAATCTGCACAAGAAAAGCATTCATTATGCATCAGACAACTCTGGCAAGTAAAAAGATCTCTCAAGATAAAGTATGAGCAAAAGTTACTGCTTAAAATCAAGTTGCAAGTAGTTATTAGGAACTCTGACCAAATAGCAAGGAGGAAACTACTGGCAATTTGCAAGACATTTCCTTAGAGCTTTCCATGTGCATTCTATTGCTTTTAAATCAGCATTTTTATTGGCCCATGAAGCATCTTAATAAGGCATTTGGCTTAAGTTACTAATAAATGAGGAGAAAAGTAGGTTGTGGCTAATAGTTTCAAGCTGTTTCGACTTCAGTCAATGGTGAAAACGAAACTTGCATTTTTTCTTTGGTGCTAATTCTACTTTCTGTGAACACTATGAAGATGGGAGTAATCATCTAGAAAAATAGATATGTTCTTAGAAAATTATGCATATGTTTGCTAAGTTTTTAAGCTTATGCATAATATTAGTCCAGGCCAGCTTCCTTATTCTAGTCTTGAAGGTACTAATTGATCGATTTCACATCAGAACAGCGACTCAGTTATATTTGTTCATTTTGTGATAGTAAAGGAATATTTTTAGATAAAAAGCTAACAAGAAGATTTTCCATCTTTTCTGAGATAAATCGTGCTGAATTGTAAGCAATACATCTGACAGTAATAGTTGTGGTGAAACTCTGTAGGCTTAACAGAATACTATAAACCTACAGTTTATTTGAAATTTTTTCCCTTGCCTTCTGTTTATATTTATGTTAGAAGTGTTTTACCTAATCTTAAAGGGATTGCTAGATATTATCTTTTGATAGTGTTGGTCTTGGCCTTTCAGTATTCTATAATGTCTATACAAGATCATATGGTTTTCTGTAATAACCTGAACTTTTATATGGTATTCATTTTATGAATTCTTTTAATGTTTTCTTTATCTCAAAATTGTATCTAACACTGCAGTCAAAATTACATTTTGAATTTTAGTGTTTCCATTTTGGTAACTTGCATTGTCTGTCTCAGGAGTAGAATGTATTTATGTCAGAAATGAAAAGATTAAATTATCATTAGAATCCATCCATTGCAAAGCTGCGTACATATATGTCACATTATAAAATTCATCATGATGTTAATATTTGGAAAATTTAATGTATTAAGAATGTATAATAAAATCCTTAGTTTTACAAAATTACAGGCAAATTCTTAGCAAGTCCGTTTATATAATAATAAAAGTGTAAGATTAATGTGATTTTTTTTTACAATTGTTCCTATATTTAAAAAATGAGCTATTGAAACTCGGCTTTGTGGTCCTTAATTTTCTAGTATGTATTTAAAGAAGAATTAGGTTCTATAAGCACTGAAATAATAGACTTTCCCAAATATCAATGGCCAAGATTTTTACAAACTTGCATCCCTGTGTAAATAAAAATATGGTTGATTGTGTTGTTAAAAGCAGCATATTCTTGCCATTTTCAGGTGAAAGAACTTAGTTACCAAGGATTTATCGTTTCCAACAAGCATTTTACATTTACAAAGTTATGGCAAGGTAGTTTAAAATTCTTATTTTGTCTCAGTGGCAGCACTTGCCAAAAGCCATCTTAATGTTACTGACAAAGTATGATATCCGACATTCTGTAGAAAATTAAATGTATGAAGCAATTCATATTTCACACATTTTCTAGGCATTCTAGAATGCCAAGTGACAAACCGGCAAAGCATAAAATACATTTCCGATTCATTTCGAAGAACCAAAACTACTTACCAGAAGTTAATAAATGATGTAAAAAGGCCAAAATTACTACTAAGAAGGAACTACGGGACTACTGGCCGCCGAATCACTAGGTTGTGATGTTTGTCGAAAACAAAAGTACACTGCGCAAAAATAAATGGGACAGTTATCTCCCTTTTTGAGCCAATTGACGAAACAACTTGCGTTTTTCATATCTCGAAAGCGCGACTTGGGATATATATTAGGTTTTAGGTATTTATTTTGACACAAAATCGGACTTTTTCTAAAATAACATACCTTTTGAAAATACATATTTTTCCCATATTTCGATTCTACGAGTCAAATTACGCCAAACTACCAAGTTTTATAAAAATCGTACGAGTAGTTTTTAAAAAATTGGCTCTCAAAATTTTAGCTCCTCAGTGTTGATGGAGTTTGGTATATATATTGATAACTTATTTGATTTTACCTTTCACATTTCGAAATTCAGTTTCATTCCAAATAAAATTCGCCCCATTTTTTATGATTTATTTTTAAATAATTTTTATAAATTTTTCGAAAAAAATTTGAATTATGATCTATAAAATTTTTACCGACATCTTAAAGTAGACGTATTTCTAAGCGTACTTGCAATAAATTAATTTTTTATTCAACATTTCCGAAGATATGCGTGAATTTATATATTGGCGCGTTTTGAAATTTGGCATATTTCTTGAAAGCGATAAAACATCACATGTGGTTTAGACACTTTGCTAAAAAATGATTTGAAAGTATGAACGATGGGACTTTTTTCCGCTTATGCACAGTTAAAAAAAAGGTAGGAACAAAGTGCCTTTTTTTCCACTCCGACGTAATGGAAGGGAAAGGAAAATTCGTTGCCATATATTAAGAAGTACGCCAAGTGAATTATTCTGGGCGCAAACTGTAAAAATTGCGCCAAAATAAATTTAATTTCTAGGCATAATTTGAATTGTAGAATCGAAATATGGGAAAAAATTGCTAAGTTATTTCAGAAAAGGTCCGATTTTGTGTCAAAATACCTATATTAGAACAAATACTATATGTAAATCTAATATATAGCCTAAATCGCGCTTTCGAGACATGAAAAAAAGCAATTTGAATTTTGTCAATCGGCCCAGTAGAACGGGAGATACAGAACTGTCCCCCCTCTTCTTTTTTTTTTTTTTTTTTCGCAGTGTATATTAATTTATCCTGTTAAAGAAAGCGTCAGTATTATGCAGTATTGCGTCACGGACGTTAGTTATTTTCTGTATTTCGTGAAAACTCATTTGAGTACTGCATAGGAACGATGTGACAGAATGTCGAAAGAACTTTCAACCAATTACAAAAACGTTACACGTAATGATATTGAACTGTAAAAATCACACCTTTGTGAGCCCTGCCAGAAAAAAACAAAAAGGTATTAAGAGCACTGATGTGAAACTTATAATTGTTTCTGAATTTAACTTCGGTTGTCCTGTAGATCTTACCGATTCCCAGTCTCAACCAGATAGAAAATACAAATTTATTACGCTGTATCACACCTCACATTTTTTTTTTTTTTTTTTTTACATATTTCGAAGAAGAGTTTTTAATGGCACTCATTAATGTTTTTCAAAATAACATTTGTATTTTAAAGGAATGAACGATTTTAAATAATAGCCTTATCATAACCTTTTTTTTTTTTTTTTCGTACATAAAGAGCATTTGTCATTGTATAGAATGCCTAGGTAAAGTATGTAATAATTCTCTTGTTTCATATTATGCCTAAAATCGTCCGGCATTATATACAATGTCGGCGTTCATACTTTGCCGGTAACATTTATAATAAATACATGGTATCAACGTAACGTGGAATCACGAACGTCAGAGGAAAAATTTTTGGGAAAACATTAACGGCAAAAGGAGATCACAGAGAAATTGAATACAAAAGTTAAAAAAAAAAAAAAGAATTGTTTTAAAAGCATTGATCATTTTTCAGTTCTTGTGAATTAAATATTAGTATTTGCAGGAAAATATAAAAACTTAATATTGCAAAAAATGATTTAAAAGGGCTGGTTTATCGAAAACTTATCTGAATATCAAGCGCATGATTCTAATTTTCCTAATTATTGCACCAGTAAGCAAATATTGCGTAGAAAGAGCGCGCTTTTTCATTTCATCATACACTAGTGCTGCCATTTATAGGTACGCATTTGAGTTAGGAATAGAATTGAAACTTTGTGTTGGTTGTTTAATTTCTTTCAAAATAATACAGGGCGATAGTATTTGGTGGCAAAAATTATAAGAGTGATGCGCCGTTTATAGTGAACCAAAGTAAAATCCCATTTCTAGACTAATAGCTCCTTTTGGAGTATAAATAAATAGAATTAATATTATTGTGCGTACACGTTGATTTAAAGGATTAAAGTCGGAAATAAAAACTGTGTGTTATGTTAATATCTCGATTATAATTATTTATTCTTTTAAGAAAGAAAAAGAGGATGGTTAACAGTAGATTAAAATATTTTTAAACAATTATCATGCATCTCCTGTCTTAGAAAAAAGTCGAGAACCAAAAAATCATTTCGTTTAGTAGTTAATATGATGACAAGTAGATGGCGCCACATATTGCACTGTGTTTGAAAACGATTTGGAATGGCAACAAATTGGAAAGTTTCGTGCTCAGGAAAGTAAAATTAATAGTAAACAAACTGACCTTGCAATTTAAAAAGTTTGAAAAATTCTATCCTTTCCGTTTGAGAGCCCATATGTACAGTAACACATTTTTTTGATTTCCCTTTAAAAAATTAACTAACTTACTAGTCATTTATGTAGAAATACTATGTATATGTACGTGTATTTAAATAAGAATGGTTAATATTCCAAATTTTGAGAACCGGTATATATATATATATATATATTTTTTTTTATTTATTTTATTTTTTTTTTTTTTTTTACTGAAACGCTGTTTAGAAGCAAATCATTCGAGTGTTTCATTTTTTAGATCGAAATAATATTTACTGTCTCTATTGTTAAGAATTTTAAATATGGAACTTCTTAACGGTTGCAGTTGCCAAAGACTTTTATTGCCCTTCATAGATTTTATTTTTAAGCAGGATACAAACCCTGTGTGTTTGTATCTCGTGGGCCACAGGCGACCAGCTCTGAAAGAGATCAGGATTTCTGATAGCATATAAACATTGGTATTGAATATCATCCTCTAAGACGACCTCTGCAAAAGACCAAAATCATTTGGTTTGGTCTATTGGATTACGGCAAAGAACTCCAGAAGTACGGGAAGAGATACCTTCGTGGAAGACTCTCTAAGGGATACTGGCTCGCATATATGCTAGGCTCACATAGGGAAAGCCACGAAAATGCCCATGCAGCCAGCCCGTTTGCTGGAATTCGAACCCTGGACCGAACTACCAGTATACAGCAACTTTATCACTAGACCGCTGGTGGGTCCCCAAAATCATCTGGAACCGTGAGTGGTCGCCTTAAAACAGAATTCGTTGCATTATCTCTAAGATATGCTGTTTTTAAAAAATTTGTAATTTTGCTGCTAAATTTTGTGCAGCGTAACTGCGAATGAAGTAAAGTTTAATAATAGAGACAAAAAAGTAGTTATACCAGCTGGAGTGAGTCCAGCAGCAGATAGAAGGTATTTCTCCCGCCTTCATGGTGTGGTGGTCTGCACGCTAGGCGCGTATTCCAGAGGTCCGCAGTTCGATTCCTGGCGAAGGCGTTGCTAATTTTTCATCTTTCCTGCTTCCAAAATACCTAATGAAGAAGGAAAATACAACAGATTTTAACATAAACAACAACGTGTTAGATAAAATAAACCTTACAAATGGATGAAAATTTAAATGTTGTGACTTTTAGTAACTGAAATGTGTAGATTTTTAGCGTCAATGTATGCAGTAAAATCACTAATAAGTGACAAAAGATTTTTTAATTTGTTTACGTATATTTTCCAAAACAGGTTTTGATTTGAACAGTGGTAAGGAATAATAATACATACCCCTGCTTTTAGTAGCTTAGATGCCATCTAAGACGCAACCTAGATATTTTGGTAGCTTAGAATAAATATGTCGTGCATTCATAATTTTTCGTTTTATTTAAGTATGTGTCGTCATCGTAATCCATACTGAAAAAGCCTGATTTGTATTTATTTCGTTTTGAAACTATTCGTTTTTACATTTCATCTAAATAAACAAGACAATGTCGAATAAATTTGCTGTGTTTGTCGGATAAAGAATGGGAAGAGAGAGAAAGAGCTGTCAGAATATAGGCCATGGTCTCTGCGGATTAATAGATATGTAGTGCAACTTTCAGATATTTTGCAGTTTCAATGTTGCTGTAATGTCTTCATTATCATTCAACGAAAATATATATATTCTTTTTAATTTTAAATTACAAATAACTAATAAAATATTAATTATTTATAGCTAACCCAGAAGGGCTATTAGGCTCGAAACGGCATTTTGCATCGGCTCACTATAATGAAGAATCTGCATGAATGTATCCATGTTTTTCGCATTGTGAAAAAACAACGAACAATAAACAATGTTACCTAGAGCTATCAAATTTTGAATAACGTAGTCCTCCGCCCGATAACGGACACCAGGAAGCCCAAATTAGGAGTTTGGAGTTTTTATCGTGTATTTCATATTTTGTAAAACTTTAACGAAATTTTGATTAACCTTTTAACTGTCATGCCCGAGATTAGCACTGGTGTTCGAAAATGTCACGCCCGAGTATTACTCGGGGTAATTTTTTTTTTTTTTTTTGAGTACATTATATTGTTATACCCGAATATATATCGGGAGACGTTTATTTCGGCTTCATCTCTTTGTCAAACCCGACTGTATTTCGGGAAAAGTTAATAAAGTTAATGTGCGCTCAGTTCAATAGATGACAGCACTTACTTTACTGAAGATTTCAAAGGTTAGAGGTTTAAGTGCTTTGGTTTAAAGTGCATGGGATCTTTTTGTTGTGAAAATAGGCATCTTCAGTTCTTTGAAATGTTATATAGATTTTAGATTCTTCAACCCAAGATGAAGGATGTGTGTTTGATGAGCAGTATTTATGATACTTCCATGGTCAGCCTCAAAAATTTAAAAAACAAGATAAAAAATGGAAGATATACTCAAGCCGAAGATTGTTTCTGACTACGGTCTAAGTATGGGTGGTGTAGATCGCCGTGATCAAGGAAATTATCCTTTCATCCGAACAATCTAAAAGTGTCAGAAAAAATATTATAAAAAGATATTTTTCTACATTTACTTAGACAAGGTTTGCTCTGGAACTCATATTTTGCTCTATAAAAAATGTAGTTGGGAAACATATTACATTTTTAGAATTTCGAATCCAAGTTGTAGAAGAGCTTTTACATAAATATGATGATGCAGCTTCTGGACAAAAGAATGTTGGCAGACCACCTACAATAGATAACCCTGCCCGTCTTACTGAACGACATTTTATATCCTATTTTCCTCCTCCTATTCCTGCGAAACGTGAGCCTACAAGACAGTGCAAAGTGTGTTTTTCGAAAAAGGATAACAAATGGGGAAAAGATAAGGAAGGAATCACGATTCTGGTGTATGTGATTGTGGAGTTGGTTTGTGCTTGGAAAAGTGTTTCCAGTTGTACAAGACTGAATTACTGGACTACTAATAGGTATTCACTTATATTATTTATGTTTTAGAAAATAGTTAATTTTTTTTCATTTTTAGAAAATAATGCTCCACTAGAAGCGAACTTTGCAACTGCCATGTTGAGTGACAGCCGCCTCAAAGAAAATATGCAGTGGCTACAAAACTTTAAAAATTTTACCCATGTACGTCAAAATATCAATTTTTAACTACTTAAGTATATTTTATTTTGTACTAAACATTTGATTTTTGCAATAAAAAAATTTGACAATTTGTGTACCCAAATCATCAAAATAACTTGACAGTTAAAGGGTTAACAAACTCAATGATTTCAAAGCGAGCAATGGCAACACTGTATGGGAAAAACATTTTTATCTCCAGCGCGCGAGGCTGTGTATCGGAAATTCTAGAGATATGCTGTTTTAAAACATTTGATTGTGTATTTCAAATTTTGTAACACTTTAACGAATTTTCGATTAACAAACTCAACTATTTCAAAGGAAGCAATGGCAACACTGTACGGAAAAAAAAAAAAAAAGTTGTCTCTGGCGCGCGAGACTGTCTACTGAAAATTCTAAAGATAGGCTGTTTTTAAACATTTTTAGCCCAAAGGAACATTAGCCCGAATGCTCTCGAAACGTGTATGTGTATGTAAATGAGAAAAAAGCGCCTTTGAGGGTAATATTAGATGTAATTTTCTTTATAGTTTTTATTAACTTGTAACTTTGGACACCTTAAAAGATGAGATACAGAAGTTGAAGCTCCAGCTCCTGTCAAATGGCATTCGTGAAGGAAACTTAGTCATTTGCAACGCTTCTAGAGGATTATTTTTGTTAACGTTAAGATAAGCAAATTCTGCCAATCTGTGCAAAGTCCAATCTGTGCAAGTCCAATGCAAAGAGCGTTTTTTTAACGTTTTGTGTGTTACCTTTATTTATTAAATATCATGTTCTTCGAACTTAAGCCATAAAATTCAGTTCAACACCAGTATCGCAAAATGATTTTAAAATGAGCATATCTTTAGAATTTCTGATATAGAGTTTCGGGCGCTGGAGATTTTCGTACAGTGTTGCCATTGCTCTCTTTGAAATCGTTGAGTTTGTTAAAGAAACATTCGTTAAAGTTGTATAAAATATGAAATAGATAATAAAACAAATTCCAAATGGGGCTTCTAAATGCCCATATTTCGGTAGAAACGTACGTTATTCAAAATGTGATTGTTCTAAGTGCCGTTGTTTTATTACAATGAGAGAAACATATACACATTTATGCAGATTCTAATTTCTTTAAATATAATACAGGGCTCTAATATTTCGTAGCAACAATTTAAAAAGTGAACCGACATTTTCAATCAAAGTTTCAATGCAAAATGTCAAAACGAAATTAATGGCTTTTTTTATTTTATTTTATTTTATTTTTTTATTTTTTTTTTTTTTTTTTTTTTTTTTTTTTTTTTTTTTGCTATGGGGCATTGGACTAAAAATTCTGCAGAATTCTTTCTTTTGCCGTGGGGGGAGGGGGGAATCCGTGAGAACATCTACAACAAACCAAAATTGTTCCCCCCCCCTTAATTTAAAATTTTAGATTGGCATATTCTCTTCCAATGAAGAATGCATTCCGAATATTAACATTATAGGCACAGCATAGGCCAAATAATTCCAAGAAACGTTAGTCGTAAACATACTTTTGCATTTTCGTAATTGAAATAGTCGGAAAATACCTGTTTATATGTTCTTGATATTTTTATATTAAATTTGTTAAATTCCATTGCTATTTTGAAGGAGATATTTTCCTCATCGCTTAATATTATCATTTGTTAAAATTATCAAAATAGCCGTGGGCTTACGTGGTCACATTAAGCAAGGCCAACTGTGCTAACATTTAGCAAAGTTCACACAAAACATCTTTTTCGCTTTCTTTTTCAAAAATATAAAAGATGAAAGGAAGGTTTTTTTTTTTTTTTTTTTTTTCTACATACACATCCTTGTTGTAGATGTAAATATACTCGCAATATGCACTCGGCCACAGAAACATCTCAGCTGTAGATAGGTAAACATTTAAAATGTGTAGAACATGTTCTAAGTGTGAAATACTGATCCAAATGGTAAAAATATCAAGGCATAAAGAACTGTTAAAAATAATGGGGAAGGGGTGGGAATCATATCGAAGAATTTAGAAGTTTTCGAACTCCAAAAAGGTAGCTACAAGCTTTATTTCCTTAAAATATTGATTCTAGACTAGAGACGGACGAAACCACTCTTTTATTGGTTCGGATAAAAGCCGTCAACGATCACTAGCAATGATCTTGATGAAAAAGACTCGGAACGAAGGGGGAGGGGAATCAAGAGCGGTTAGCGATAATGGAACAAAGAACAGGAATAATCAAACTAGTCGACACCATCAGATGAAAACTTCCTGAATTGATTTCTTTCAACTGCAGATTTGAGATTCCCTAAAAACACTTTTTTCGATGCAAAACTAATAATAAAATTTCAGAATAAAAATTTTTCAAAAAGTTCGGAAATGCTAAATTAATATTACACTGGTGTGCAAAAATTAAGGACGAAGTCGAAAAATTAGCATATCAGCTGAACGAAGAGGCAGAGCGGACAGAAAGACCAATCAAGGACCAAAAGGAGATTAAGTAAGGTGATGTACGGTAGAACATGCGCAGATATGCAGGTAGACGTAATGGGGGAGTGTCTGAGTAGTATAAAGCATGTTGTCGGTGTAAGATCAGTATTTTTTTCTGGCAAAGAGATTGCACGCCGTATAAACAGTTAAAATCACACCCGACTTGCTGCCTCAGCGAGAAATGCGAATAATCAATCTGTTAGACGACATCTGGATGCTTTTACCCGAGGCCGAATCATTGGAAGTTTGGAGGAAAGGCCACAGTGTGACACAAGTGTGACTGCAGAGTTCGGAATTGCTCACAGCATCGTTTCACGACTTTGGAGACAATTTCAAACTACAGGAACAGATATATCCGGGGGGGGTTTAGTAGTGGTCGTCCACGAGGAACCACACACCCGCAGATGACCGGTATATTGCCTTAACAGGCCAGAAGAAACAAACAGGCGGCAGACAGCGGGAGAAAATCGCTAGACAACAGGCGACTGGACG